CCACGCTCTTTACTCCCTATAATTACCTATCGTTATTGATTGCAGCTACTTGTAGTGCTAGCGCACTACAGTCTGTAATGCACCGGTGTCAACCAACACTATGGCTAGAATGCAAAGGACTGCGAGAATGACTTGTTTGTAGCAAAATTAACTGTAAATCCGTTTAAATCAAAGTTTTATGTCGATACTTGAACCAAATTTCCAGGGAAAAATGTTCTGATATCTCGATTTCAGACCGATCCGGCATTCCGCCGGCGTTCCATCTAGCCGACAGCTAGATCCACAAGGGTACGGCCGACCCGCGTTCCGCGCATCTCTACCGATGTGAGGTATTGACCACGGTCTGAACAAATGCCTGCGTCGCATGCTGTTAGTCTAAATTTTATGCTAAGCTAGATTTTGTTAATTATTCCAATTACGCAATAAGAATCTTTAGTTTCTTTAATACGCTAATTATCTGCCGCAATGCATTGTAGTGCTAGTGCACAACACTGTCCCTCGAGTACGCCAAGCGGCAACCATGTCCCCGTGCAACTACCGAACACAGAAGATTCGCACTGCATTTTTCATTTGTAGAAAGAAGGTCAACCAGATATCTCTCGTGCACTGGGATTAGAGGAGTCCATTAGTCCGGAGCGCATCCGTATACTTCGCAGGTCACGGTTACCCGGTGGAAGCTTTGAACGCCCCAAGGACAGCCGCACAGTTGGAGGTAGAAAGCGAAATAACTGGGGGTAACATTCAAGCCTCCACTTTCGCTCTAGGGTTCTGGCTGCAGTCAAGCTGTTCGTCTGAGTTCCACACAATTGCTGCGCCGCCTCACGGGACCGCCAGAAGTCCATGCGGGAATTGATGCCTGGCGACCGTTCCCGGACTGCGAAAAGCTATACCTCTGCTCTGACGTATCTTCAGAATGCAACTAATCTACAGAGGCCTTGCATATCAAAGCTGAAGAAGAGACGTTCGTTGCAGAGGGACGAGTGGGACACCTGAATGTGGGATACGCCCACTGGGCCTACCCAGCACTGGCA